CGTAGTGCCGGATGCTCCTTCAAAATGATGAGCGACATGTTGTATGACCAGAACCATTCAAGAGAACTCACATTTTTCATCTGCCGTTTCCTTTCCGCTTCGGCTCGATTGGCGTTTTTCTCCATCTCCTGCAGTTGCTTTGTTTCTTTGGCCAGTAAGGCCTCCTCCCTCCCAATTTCCGCCTTCAAGAGATCAACACTATCGGTCATAGTCGCTAAGCTAGATTCAAGAGACACCTGGACTCAACATCAGTATGGCACCAAACAATCCCACGAGAAATCACATACATGCTCATTTAGCGCCGCTTCGTAGTCAAACACCGACTCCTTCGTGACAGGAGGAAACGGCATTCGAGGAAGTCGCTTCCCGAGACTTGAAAATAAAACAAGTCAGTCAATAACTACCATACGTCTCGCAATCACGATCACGCGACAGATTCAATACTCAATAATCGACATACTTCCTAACAACTGCCTGCACAGCCGCCTGCGCTTCGATGCGTTTTCGTTCATTCGGCTGCCGCACGATAACGGGCCGTTCAAGCGCTCGAAACATATCACGAATCTTGTCTTGAACGGGCTCAGGGAGCGTTGTCCATTTCGACTTGATAGTCCGCTCGGAAACCTGCCGGACTTGGGGCTTCAGGTACGCGAAACGCTTGTTGCGCGCTGCATCGTCATGCGCGTCGCTTTCTGTGGAACGCTTTCTCTTTGGGGGCATTGCGCTGTTTCCGAGCTCCTTATTTTCAGACTCCGGAATCAATCGTAGATGATGGATACAGAGTGAGTTTGTTATTCTAGTCTGCCAAGGAGGGCTATTGGTTTGCTTTGATGTGCCGCCAACAACGCGCTACGGGTACTGTCACATGCTTAATCAGCCCAGGACTAACCATTGTTGAGTGAGTGGGGCACAACCAACGTTTGGAAATGTATCGCCAGATCTATCTATGGAAGTACCTCTCCTACATAGTATCTATTCCATAGCACGAGAACATCCTCTGAAGGAGAGTGGCTTGTCTACTTTTTACAATATCACGACAGATATGAAGATATATTGCACCCAAACACTCTCACTGCCGAGATCGTCTGTTCTATATCTCTGAGCCATCAACATAAACGAGCGGTGCGTCCTCAACGACGCTCTAGATGTATCATAGATCAATGTATAGACATTGGCGTAGGTGTGGTAGTATTTGATACGATATCGAGATATTTCAAGGGTATAATGCTATATACCAGTAATACAAATTAGAAGAAACGACATTATTGTGGCAGCAAGTGCAAATGTTGCTGGTATCTGATTCCAGATCTGCTGGAAGGTAACGCCTGCGTTTTCCTCTGGGAAAATGTGCACACTCTTAAATCGCTAAAACGCTTCAATATAAGGAAGTCGAAAATAAGGCCATGTCTTGCAGGGGACTAGAAACGAAAAGATATCGTCAACGCGTAAGTTGTTCGGTGATCATCGGGGCATCACTAAGCCGTTCATCGTCTTCAATTCTGCTAGTTGTGCCTTGAGGATTTCGTTCCCTCGTAAAATATCCTCAAGCCAGTCAGCAGCCTGAGTGAGCATTGCGCTTTTGCTAAAGCCCCCGCCTTTCAGCCCAGGCACAAGTGAACACAAGTCATCAAAGCCTTGCCGAATGAGATTCCTGCGCTTTTGTTCGGACAGAATGTGATTGTTCCTCTTCTGCTCTTCTGTGAGATTCTCACGGGCGGCTTTTGCTCCTTGCTGCAGCTTTGGCTTTCGGATTGTGTCATTTGATGTTCGCCTTGGTTTGCCACTAGCCGAGCTCTTTGACCGTCTTGATCTTGGTCTCGTGCTATCTGCATCGGATTGCTCGTCGTCTTCTTGCTTGATCGAAGTCCTCTGTCTTTTCTTTGGTTGCGAATAGTCATCTAGGGCGTGGTTGTATTCTCGTTGTAGGCTGTTGAGCGGAACTGGCCCGCCGGACTCTCCCCAATGAGAATTGTAACCACCTGCTGTCCGCTCCGGGCTAGGTGCTCGAGTATTCGCAGCGCTGCTTTGAGGTTCAAGGCACTCCAAATTCCCAAGCAACTCTTTTGTTCGCTCTTCTTCATTCGGTTGATCAGGCGGCGCGATGTAACCTTGGTCCATAAAACTAACATCAGAGCCCCAGTGGAGCGGGCGTACCTTTGCAGATGCTTGCTGTTCGGGGGAAATCGGTTCCCGAACATCAAATAGCATCTCCGAGGTATGGAAGCCAACAGGCAGCCGCGTATGCGACGCGCTTGGCTGTTTGGAAGATATGTGGTTGCTGGAATGCTGCGTCTTACCGTGACCGTTTGAAATAGAGTGATTGAAATTGAGCTCCGGCATGGATGGGAAATGCTGCTGTCCGAATCCCGGGTTGATTTCAGACCCTGCCATCCCGTTCTGATAGAGCATGGAAGCCGCGGCAAGTATATCAGAGTTCGCACCCTGGTTATTCGGCACGATGCCAGGTTTCTCTATTCCTCGATGGGAAAGTGACGGTTGTCCGAGCGAAGTAGTAGAGCCTTCAAACGTAGGCGGCAGTTCAGTGGACCACTCGAAATTGACCGGATCAAGGAATTTATTGGGCTGGTTGCGCAGCCAGAAATCATCTGTGAAATGACTTGAGTTCATCGTAGTGAAGAAATTATCCAGCATGTTCGATTCATTGTCGTCAAGAAGTGCAGGACCCGGAGGTGGAGCGGGTGCAGGTTCGTATGGGGTGTCCATGGGCGATAAAAACGAATCTAAGACGCAAAATCAGTTAGAGATATAGCAATAGAATGATTCCCCTCAAAATCACATACAACCAAAGGGTCCGAGTTGGGCGTCATTCTGCCCAGAACGGGAGTCGGGATCTTTCATAGTCATCGTGATGTGTAAAGGAGCGACGGATCGGAGGATTATTGGGATAAAAGCCTCGAAAATGATTGCTGCCTTGGTAATCTCAAGCAGGCCTGAGCGAGAGACAAGATGCGCATGCCTCGATGCCGTAATCTCGGATCGCAATACTAGATACAGCCGATACGGTAGCGTGCGATTTGGACGATCCCAGAGTTCTCGAAGGAGCAAGAGTGGCTAAGGTAGATACTGCGCCAAAGAACAACCGAGTGTTTTCTGTTCAGATATTGTACGAAATATGATCAGAAGGTAGGTACGAGACTTGATCGCGGGGTACAGTGCGTTTAAAAACTGATAACAACGGGTATCATACAGATGATCAACAACTGGACAAGATCGTTCCCCGCATTTTAAATTCATGTGCAAGAAGAGGAAGAAGCAGAAATATGACGATGGGAATCTGGAGACAAGGTCTCAGGCACGTACATAGTTTGGCGGAGAAGGAGGAATCCGTCGGTCTTTTCGAGTCGATCACATGCAAAAGTTCGTGCGTTCTAGAGTCGCGTGACGTAACCATATTACCAAATTACAGCTCTGTTCTGGGGAAGTTTGGTGGGCAGGCCGTTGCAACTCTGTAATATACTGTCATGGATATCCTCGGAACAATTTCCCAGAGCAGAAAGAGCAGCGATGGCTTCCAACTGTCTGTCATGAAACTGGTTTTTGAGCTGCTTCTCCCAGTCTCGTTCGCAAATTATGGGAGAGTTTGGGGGTGGTTGTTCTTAGATCTCTTTGATCATTTGCATCTCATGTTCCAAGGTTAAGGCTTGGGAGACCTCATTTTTGTGTTCCTGCTACTCCGTACTTACGGATGATCGTCGTCGGCCATTGCATCGCCTAGTCTTAGTTCTTACGTTTCTGACCCCTGAATCATCCTACTCCGGGCCAGTAATTAACTAGGCAAGCCTATCAGTGTCTTTCAATTCCCTATGTTCTAGTCTAAGGACCGAGGTCGAAATTGCCGTTGCACGGATCCACGGTAGATCATACGAAACATTGCTACATACGGATTGGAGTAGTAGCTGTCTAGTGTCTACTACTGCTACTACTACCCCAGAATACTGTTCCTCACTGCACGGAACTTTTCTCGATACCGAAGGGTTTACTTGTGAGAAACCTAATATCCATGTCAGCATTTCATACTTGAGTTGCCTGTGTCTCTTGTCGATTGGATTTCCTATTTTCTCATTGGCAAGCTCGGTCTCCTGTCAAACAAACAGTGGTCCTGATCGAGGCTAAATTCATTATCATGATTGGTCCGAATTATGAGAAATGAGAGTCAGAACGAACTGAACATCATTCAGACATCATGGATACTCCGATGCTTGCTCGTGGGAATAGGAGCAAGGCTCGGATCCTCCAGCCGTAAGTCCGAAATTCCTTTGAATATTGCCATTTACGGCATGGCATGGAGTGTCTCTTCAACATCTTGCATTGGTGCTTGGCCATTTAGCAACGAATCACTGACCTCGCTCTTCTGTAGCGTCCTGCGTGCGTATGCGATAGGTTATCTATCCTCAACAACACCAAGGGTCGTATCATATTTACGCCGGCTGAAAGATGATAGATTGAGCAACAAGGAGAAGCTCGAAGAAGTAGGTCATCCTTTCGCTGTCATAAGTCTACGACGATTGCTCTGCTCGTAGTTGATATCCTTCAATCTTGCTGGTCGTTATCCCGAAAACACCAAGGATAAACTGACACTCATCGTGCAGTTGTCTCGCACATTGACAAATGCTATCCGTCTGGACAGTTTTCCGACATTCTGTGCACTTTTAGTCGCGGGCTCGACTGTCTTACCCGTTTTTCTTTTGCGACTTTGTGCACTTGTCAGCAGTAGAATTGGTAAAATATCCGGGCTGGTAAAGTCTCGGGGCTTTTTGCGGTTCGTTCGCTTCGTCGCTGCATTTGTTTCTGCCTGGTTTAGCTTTCAGCTGCTCAATCAGAAGCCTATAAGGCACCAGGGCAGCGATGTTATCTCGATCCGCACAATTGGTAACAGAGACAATGCCGGCCATAGTCCCGAAAAGAAGATCACCCCTCAATACAGTCCTGGTCTTGCCGGGAGGACTATGGATCTCACTCTTTTCACTTTCACTAGAGCAATGGATGTTCTTGTCTGTTTGGGATGGTCACGCTGGCGAGCTTTGCGGAGAAGTCAGAATCGCTGGTCTTTAGCTGAGACTGTCGCTCCTGTGCTTGCTGACACAGGGCTTTTCGCTGCCAGCTCTGCTGTAGTAATGTGGGCATGGTTTTACCTCCCAGAAAGGCTTCCTAGATCCTATGGAAAGTGGATTGGCGAGGTGGCGAAGGTGGACATTCGACTCATTGAAGCACTTCGACGGGCCAGGCGAGGGATATTCGTATATGGAAAAGAGACTGGCCAGGCGCGTCTTCTTGAGTCTATGTGCAAGGATTACAACTGGCCTAGAGAGTGGGGAGACCCAAGCAAGACCATTCCCATCCCCTGCGAAATGGTACACATGGGTTGCGGTCCCAATTGCGAAAAACACGCTGCTTGGCGATTTGCTAGAACATTTAAATTCGCTTGTGCAACCTATATTCCGCTGCAAGTTGTCTTCCGTCTGCGATCAATGAAAACGATGTCGTCTCTCTGGCGGGCCCTGGCCGATGCCCTACGGTCATCTACCTTCCTTGCTTCATTTGTGAGCATTTTCTACTATTCTGTGTGCCTGGCCCGAACGAGAATTGGTCCAAAGATCTTCAGCCGGGAAACGGTGACACCACAGATGTGGGACTCTGGCCTCTGTGTCGGGGCCGGGTGTCTCATGTGCGGATGGAGTATATTGGTTGAAAGTGCGCGGAAACGACAGGAGATTGCGCTGTTCGTGGCACCAAGAGCCGCCGCAACTGTGTTACCCCGTTATTATGACAAGAAGGTATGGTTAATGAGCTTTCTTCAAGTCACGTCGCTCGACTCGGGGATGGTTACATTTCCCCTTATCGTTCCATCCCCTCTTTACCATTTCTTTCCTCCCAGCAGATCACCTACTACTCAGAGTGTACCATCAGTTACTAACATGATCCCAGTATCAATCCCGAGAGCGCGTCACTTTTGCTCTCAGCGCTGCTATCCTTTTCACCTGCCTTCGTGAACGACCCAGCATGGTTAGAGGTGTTTTCGGAAAAATTGCAAAAAGCGTGTTGAAGTGAAAGGAGAGCATTTTACATTGCATCCATAGAGTATTTGTTGTGGCTGATCATTTCGTTTATCGATCGAATTCTCCAGGAGAGAGTTCGTGTACATCAGTAATAGACGCGATATGAATAACAAACTCTGTAAGCAGTCATCCTTTAGCTCGAGAGATACGCTTGATCGACGATAGCCCTAGTTCTACCATTGACTTCGCGAGGTATTTGAACTAGATACTTTCCATCAAAGGCGACTTTTTCGTCCCAGCAAATGGCAAATGCATGTACCTCGAGAAGTCTTGAAAGAAAAGAGCTTATATTGAATCAGACATCTGTCATCATCAAGACGAGCTGCGGCACAGCCGCCTTGCAGCCTAAATTCGCGACGAAATAAACAGCGATCTGACCGTCTTACATCATTTGATATCTCCCAAAATCTCATTATTATCGACTTTTTCCGCTGAAATTAAAACTCGATATGCCGCTTTGCGAGATCTGTGACTCTCTTGACCTTGGGCAAGATGATCTTACGGATTCTGGTATCAAATTAGGGCCGTTCAAAGACCTGCTTACGCGAGCTGAAAAAGGCTGCGGCGCATGCGAATTCTTCTGTAACGTGTTGGAGACGTCTAGTCGATGGACGACAAGGCTTGACGAGCTTGCCGAGCGAGTGATCTTTCTTGACAGTTCCCGGTTGGACGCGAGGGAGCCGACGAAGCTTAGTAACCGCACTTATTCCGCAGACGACTTGTGTTTGGACCAGTGCGTTTCAGAGGATTATGAGGGTGTGCACAAATTATGCTGGAAGCGTCGCTGTTGAAAGGCTGATCTTTACAGGCCCACTGAACGAGGAGGTCGATCGTGTTCGTCGCATCCCATTCGACCTCAGGGACGAAAAGTGCCTTGGTCTGGTTCGAGGTTGGACTGCTGAATGTGCAGCCCATAGCACCTGTTCCAAGCCTTTGGCAGTTAAACTGCCGGAGAATATCATTGAGATCGCGGCAGATCCTGCAGTTGCCCCCAGGCTGTGTTCGTCGAATGGTAGATCAGGGTCTTATGTGATTCTGAGCTACTGCTCCGGGAATTTCGAGCCTTCGACTCAGCGAGAGTCGGGTAATACCGACTTCTCGGCTCCATTAGATGGGCCTTCCCTGCCGAAGACTTTAGCAGACGCGATAGAAATTGCACGCAAGTTAGGGTATCAATACCTGTGGACCCGAACCATTTGCACTTCCAGAGAGAAATGGGGTAGCGATCCAGCTCGAATTGCGGCACTATACGGCCAGGCAGCTTTGATGCTTTCAGCGGAAGCTGCTGAAGATGCGGGCTCGGGGATTTTCCATGACCGACGGGTAATCTACTCTCCTGCGCTAGGTCGCAAAAAAGACAAGTACCTTCGGCAGCGGCTCCTGCGATGGACATCGGATATTGAGGAGTCGCCGATAGCGGGACGGGGGTGGGAGATTGTCGAAAGAATGCTAGCTCCGCGCGTTTTACATGTCATGAGGCGTCAATTGATCTGGGAGTGTTCTTCTGGGTTCCAGTTCGAGGCCTCTGGAATTGTCGACAAAAAGACAGGCTCCGGGCAAATTCGACAGTGCTACGTCAAGGGAGCCGTGCAGCCGTACATCGACAGGTTTCTCCAAGATCAAGTAAAGGATGCTGGTGGCGTTGGCGACGAGGTGGACATCAGCAAGCGAGTGGCACGACTCGAGGCCTGGCATCGGTGTGTAGACGCCTTTTCAAAGGGATCAGTCAGTGTGACATCCGACAAGCTACTCGCCATGGCTCCCCTCGCATCTGCCATCAATGACGGCACTCTGGGCGAGTATCTCGCGGGAATTTGGAGCAGTGACATCGCCTTCGGGCTCGGTTGGTCACGGCCTTACGGTGTCTTACGTCCAGCAACAGACTACAGAGCCCCAAGCTGGAGTTGGGCCAGCGTAGACGGTACAGTGAGCTCACATGCTCTGGCGTGGCCCCAGGATCTAATGCGCGGGCATGCTAAGGATTCCTCCTGGCTGGATAAATACCAACCGAGACTGGTATCTCACCACATTACTCTCGCCGATCCCCAACGCCCATATGGCCAGGTCCTGGACAGCTCACACATCCTCGTGGAAGGCTCCTGCATTGGACTTAAGACACTTACCCGAAACTTACGCGGCAACGAAGCCTTTGGCTTGACTTTGGTCCTAGATCAGTCGCAGATCTTCGATTGTTCATGCTGTATTCCCAGGTCGGCAGATACCCAAAAAGCGGATCTGGACAAGTTCAGCAGCGATATTGAACACTATTTCTGTATGGTTATACAAGGGGACGCATGGCGGGTAGAAGAAGGCTGGAATCCCCATCGTGGGTTTTGCGATCTTCTCATTCTGAAACCTTTGGATGAAGTGGAGGTTCTCATGAGGGTAGGAGTCCTGCGGATTTCTGCTGGATCATTGATTGATCCACATCCGGAGTTTGATGCGCTGCCCTGGGAAAGACGCAAGCTGAGACTGGTCTGAAATTCTGATCGTGTGCAAATGGCATAGCAAACTGCTGGTGATTTTTATCCTTTCCTATGACGAATAACGTTCCAGAATGAACATGGAGCACTCGATAGTTGATGTAGAGCCCAATACATATACCCTCATATGGGACAAGAGGGACATGATGGATATGAGGTTCATGTGGCTTGTAAGGCAGGGGCAATCGTTCGTCACCGGTAGTTGCACAATATAGATCTGGGCTTCCTTGATAGTGAACACCACTTGGTCGGTATCCAAGAGTGGTTCCATGTAAGCCACATTCAGCATCTGGGCATTTGTCTTAGGGTGCTGGGCACTTTTGAGAGCTAGCATACAAAGCAAACAGGCCTGGTATTGTGCATGGTGACACCTGCATTGAGGGCCGCTTTGTATCTTACCGAAGCGTTGGGTCGTTCCCAAATATGATCACATCATCCAGCCCATACTTGCAGAAGCATGGTGGTAGGGAAGGATATCCTCTTGTGGTTGTTTCACACGGAGGAAAGTCATCTCAGTTGATGTATATCTATCTTCGAGAACCAACGAGTGCTTAGTTTAACCAGGTCACTTCGGAACTTGCATCATCCATTATACGGGACGGCAGATAGAATACTGCTTCCTTCTCTGACGGCTTGATCAGATCTTCTTCCTCCTTCTGCCCGACATTGAGGTCCGCGAGTTGGGATGTATCGAGAGGTACCAATGTGGCTGGTGGACTGTTATATAGTTCTTATCGATAAGAGGACAGATCATGTGACATGATTTTCATATCAGCTCCATTTCTCAGACGATGCATTCCCCGATAGATCCGCAAAGCAACAATTGACAGTCATGTTTGCTCGTGGGCCCTTGCAATGGGCGCATTTACGGTCGGCAGGGACCGGCCTATGTTCAGGGCGCTTGAACATGCGCTATTTTGACTTTGGGAAGAAGTTTTTCTCTCACAATTCGTTCCTTCGCCAGGAACTGCACCAAAATCCCGCATTTGCGCCTTTCAATACACCCCAGTCGCAGAAACGGAATGCATCCGTAATGTATGAATTTTGATTTTCTTCTTACTGGCGACATGATTGACGTCTTATAGGTACTACACCGCAAGTATCGTTGTTGGAACTTTAGCGCTCGCTTATGGCTCCGTTCCTCTATATAAAATGGTGCGTGGAAGCCTTAATGGAGGTTTGCCGGTCTCTGCCCAGACATGAACCTGAACAATCTTTTTTTGCAGGTTTGTCAACAGATCGGCTGGAACGGTCAACCAGTACTTGCACATCGGACCGGAGACGGCGACACCTCATCGCGCGTAACGCCAGTGACCGATGCTCGTCGTCTTCGAATCACCTTCAATGGTTCAGTGTCGGATGTCCTGCCGTGGAAATTTACACCACAGCAGCGTGAAGTCTGCGTGTTGCCCGGTGAGACGGCACTTGCTTTTTATACCGCCACGAATAAAGGCCCGACGGACATTATCGGTGTTGCAACGTACAGTGTTACTCCTGGTCAGGTCGCCCCATATTTCAGCAAGATCCAGTGCTTCTGCTTTGAAGAGCAGAAATTGAATGCTGGAGAGTCTGTTGATATGCCGGTGTTCTTCTTCATTGACCCGGATTTTGTGAAAGATCCGGCCATGAAGGGCATCGACACCATCACTTTGTCGTATACTTTCTTCAGTAAGAAATAATGAGTCTAGAAGCTCGAAGTTGCATGGAACGCTAACTTTTTCATAGAAGCGAAGTATGATGACAATGGAGTTCTGAAACCGATACCCGCTGCTTAAAGCTCCAGAAAACCGGCTTCTTTACCCTCAGGACGCAGCGGCTCTCGAGTCGGCATATAAGGTTATCAGACGTATGCCTCGGAGCAACTTTAGAAGTCGACATTCGGCCAACCCCCTCAATCCAGAAGCGCACACATCTCTTGACGTGGAGCTTGATTTGGCCGAGTCTCTCCACATAGACAGCGTGTCTACGTCCATTTCATCTAGATGGACAGCGAATACTATCTCCTCTCTAGAATTAGCCACATTGGATCCGTCCTTCCGTGTATTATACAAATGCGTGTACTGTACATATGATTTTTTCAGATTACAACTATCGTGTCTTTGAAGTAGATATGTGAAAGCATTCCCTCCATGTAAAACGCAAAGCACCCTGCTCACTTGGTTTCGAATTGAGGACTTTGTTCATGGCGTTTGGACTTTTAGACGGGCAACTTCACCTAGATCACGTGGGATTCTACTAAAACTGTTCTCGGAGCTATGGGCAATGGGCACGGGCCACCAATTAAGCTCACGCGTCACGAATAAACGCGTATCGAGGTACTCTACAACGGCCGTTGATCTGTCTTGTCACTATACTTGAGTTTGTATACAATTGCAGACAGAGGCACTAAAATGGCTCTTTTAGTGGATAGATTGCGACCTCGTTCGCTTGATTCTCTATCCTACCATCATGAGCTTTCCGCGCGTCTAAAGTCATTGGTAAGATGCACCTGTTGCTGCTGAGTGATGAGCAGATCATTGACCTTTTCTTGAACCTCCGCAGGCTCAAAGTGGCGATTTCCCTCATCTCCTGATGTATGGGCCGTCGGGTGCAGGCAAGAAGACCCGTGTGATTGCGACGCTGAAGGAATTGTACGGCTCGGGAGTAGAGAAGATCAAGATTGATGCCAGAGTCTTCCAAACGACAAGCAATCGAAAACTTGAATTCAACATCGTATCATCCGTCTACCATCTCGAGATTACCCCATCCGACGTTGGCAACTATGACCGGGTGGTCGTCCAAGAGCTGCTCAAGGAGGTCGCGCAGACTCAACAGGTTGATCTATCTGCGAAACAACGGTTCAAAGTCGTTGTCATCAACGAGGCGGATCATTTGACTCGCGATGCACAAGCGGCGTTGAGACGAACGATGGAGAAATACAGCCCCAACCTGAGACTGATCCTGCTGGCAAATAGCACGTCGAACATTATTGCTCCGATCCGTTCTCGAACCCTGCTGGTCAGGGTCGCCGCACCTACGGAGGAACAAATCTGCTCGGTATTACAGAACGCTGGTAAAAGGGAAGGCTGGCCGGAGGCCCCTGGACTCAACAAGAGAATAGCCAAGGAGAGCGATCGCAATCTTCGGCGAGCGCTTCTCATGTTCGAGGCGATATATGCTCAGACGTGGGTGCTCCGTGCTGTTTGTGATTGCCGGTGTGTAACTAACAATGCTACTCGATCAGGGAGAAGGTCACGGACAACACGCCAATTCCCCCGCCTGACTGGGAAGCTCTTATCTCATTAATTGCAGACGAGATACTCGCTGAGCGGTCACCGGCCCGTTTGCTGCAGGTCCGCGCGCGGTTATATGACCTCCTCACCCACTGCATACCGCCTACGACAATCATCAAGGTTCGGTTGCCACACTCGATCCACGTCCGAAATGGCTCCTGCTAACAGGTTCACAGACCCTGACTTTCAAGTTAGTTGCAAGAGTCGACGACGCACTGAAGCCAGATGTAATTAAATGGTCCGCATTTTACGAGCACAGAATCACTCAAGGAAGCGTAAGGGTTATCTGCCTAGACCAACACGGACAATATACTGACACTGGGTACAGAAAGTGATTTTCCACCTAGAGGCCTTCGTTGCCAAGTTTATGCGCATCTACGAAAGGTTGGATCCTCCATCTGTCGAGCGCGCTCTTTGACCAATTGCTGACGTTATTTCGCAGTTACTTGATGGGCATGGACTTCTAGACACATCTTTTGCCATGACTAATGAATGTTTAAAATGGGCTGTATCCCAAACGTAAGAGGTATTGATTGCATTGATGGATGGACCCTTGTGATACCGGCTTGCATATACTGTAATACCTAGTCCATAAATTGAGGTGACTCGATCAAATCTCTTGCGCAGAGAACGGTGTGATTTTGTCAGTGCACAGCAGTAGTCATTTTACATACCAAAGCTGAATGGGGTTTCCTCATGTTATGTGTCTTGCACGCTTGAAGATCTCTAGCAGAAGTGATCAAGTCGCAAGCATGAACTTGGTGGACTCCGCGATGGTGTACGTCATACCTACCATGACCATATAAATTGAGTTGACCCGCCGAAGGGCGAGAAAAGCAACGCAGATATCAGCAAGCAATTGAAGCATCAATTACTATTCACTTAGCAAATTAGTTCGCCCTTTTTATTCAGGGACCTACTAGCCATGTCTAACCCCAACCTTTTGGACATTGAACCCGGTGGAGAGAACACCCAGTACGTACTGCTGCGAGCACCGCAACATATTTTCTCCACGAGATTATAGGATAGACTAACCTTGGGGACCAGATATGAATCCATTCGATTATTTACAGAGACCCCACACAAACAAACGGGACAGCTGGGTGGTACGCTGAACTCTCAGGCCGATCTGCGCCCAGTTCATTTCGAACTTTTGTCTGACCGGGATGTAGTGAATTCACCACACACGAAAAGCGAAATGAGGACTTATTTCGACTCTGACAACAACGGCCAAGAGCTGAGAGATGAGGACCAAGAGGAGGCGCAGAGGCTTGAGGGCGAGTTCACATCTAACATCTCCGGACAAGCGGATAAAGGTATAATACTCTTGGATTTTCCTTCTATTTAACTCCGTGGATGAAGACATGAAACAGTGAGCGTACAAATACCACAGAGAATCCGAGGCTGACAATAGTATACACAAGACTCGAAGGAGAATGAAGCAGCGGCGAAGACGAGGCGGCAACAAGGGTATGGACCTGGTTCCGGCGTCGGCGCTTAAGCGACGCTAAGAAGGCGTGAATGACATAGCGTGACAGAGGCGGGGTTTAAGGAGAAGCGGATGAGCTGGATGATGTGGAGCTGGGAGGTGTGGCCATATTGTCTGTACCTAGGGCCGGACTCCTCCGTGGTCTTTTGAGGCTTTCGAGAGTGACACCGTTGCCGAGTTTTGTGATACCGACGACGGGTGGGTCACCCTTCTTCACAAATTCCCAGAGACCTGTTTGCAAATAGGATATTAGGATTCCCAATTCTTCCATAGCATGAGGTAAACCATACCGGGTAACTTGTGGCCTGCCAGTCGGAAAGCTTCCCTCGCAATCTTTTCGTGTAGATCGCCCTTAAGCTCAAAGACGATCCTGCTGACGGCAACTCTTGCAGTCCAGTAGTCGAACTTTCCCTTACCCTTACCCATACGTTGCTCATTGCCCTTGGTGTATACACCAATGTTGGCGCTGACGCGCTTGTACAAGGTATAATTCATACCTCTAAGTCGTCTCTTGATAGTTTCCTCCGCAAGCTTGAGAGATGCAGCAGGTAGCCGGCGATCATGATCCTTCATCCGCAATCCGTAGTCACCCCAGACGACAGTGGTACCGCGAGAGGATCCGCCGGTAGGGACATGTGGTCGACCTTTCGGGGACTTCGACCTTTCCATGAACTTCGGTGTAAGCCAATCCAGGGCCGGCGAGGATGTTGAGAAGCATCGTGATAGTTGAAAACCTGCGAAGGGTGACGATAGACCTATGGAATCGACGTCAGTTAAATGTGCGGAAGACGAAGAAAAGTTTTATAGAGACACCAGGAAGCACTCACAGGTAGGCCGGAGAAAGGTCACTTGGGGACCCGCCAACATCTTCATTTGAGGACCCATTGCAACGAACGACAGGGTCCTTTTGTGTGAGTTGAACAGGTTCAAGGGACCGCAGACTTTCAGGCTATCGGCATATCTGCATATCCGATGTCTTCTGGAACCCAAAACGGCAGAGTGTGGTGCGCACGTGCCACGAGATTGCCGCTTATGTAACCAAATTACTTCACGTCGACGAACCAGCTGCGGGCGTGGCAGGCGCGTCATTCGCGTTTCCGAGGCGAGCTCGAAATGATTATCAGGTAGAAGTGAAGAGTCCGAGGTTGCCTGTTTGGGGTCTACTTTTATTTTAACTGCGCTTCTCGCCTCCTTAGATTGCATGTCAAGCTCAGAATCGATACAGTATCACCATGCCTACCGACATTAGGAACTTCTTCGGTGGCCAGGGCTCTAGTGCGTCTCCCGCGAAACCGCCAGCAAAGAAAGAGGTAAGCTGATACCTTAAGTCAGAAATGACACTTGGATCCTGCCATATTGAAATAAGGAGTGTTGCTGAGACCCAATTTTTTAATTGCAGGATGCATCAACCGCTAGGAAGAAACGTATGTTCGGCCATGGAGCAATAATTTTGGGCCATATTTACTAAGCGATATAACAGGAAGCAGAAAGGTGGTCGATGACAGTGATGAAGAAGAGGAATTAAAACCCAAGTCACCTGCGCCAAAGTCAAGGGCAACGAGCACGCCGTATGTGAAAGACTGTTGCTCGCTGCTGGTGTAGCACTAACGATTTCTGAAGTAAACCAGCTGAGTCCCAGGGCCAGCCGACAACCACTTCGGACTATTTTGCGTCCTCAAAAAGGAAAACAAAACCTGGCAAAAGCGAAGACGTGACGAAGACTAAGGAGGTCCGGCCTTCTGATACTGCATCTCTCAATGGCCGTGACGCTGAGGACGCTTCTGAAACGAAGAACAAAAAGACCGCCGACCAATCACCCAGACAACGCTCTCGCAGGACGGCCAAGAAGAGCACAGTTGTTCTGGACGACGACGATGGCTTAGGAAATGATGACATTTTCGCGACAGACTATCGAAAACCAGGTAAATACGACGACGACTACGTTGAAGAGGATGAGCACGACGGAGATGATGACTATGAGGAAATGGAAGTCAAACCGGCCAGTGCGGCTTCCGGCAAGTCATCGCGCAGAAAGAACGCCAGTGCAGCCGAGTCAGCCGACGTGGCCATGAAGGACGCACCAGCAGAACCCGAAAGAGCCTCGCGCACAGGCCAGAAACGAAAGTCTGCGGCCGTTGACCGGGATGGAGATTACGAGGATTGTAAAACCTCGGAAGGTCCTGTGCGCGCAAGAGCAGCCCCATCGGCGCCCGCTGCCAAGAAACAGAGAGGAGCGGCTACTAAAAAGGACGAGCCTGAGAGCAAGGAAATCCAGGATATATTCGACAGCATACCGACCATCAAACCACCCTCCCCACCACCGCCATCAGGTGAGAAGGCGAAATTCAACTTTGCTGCTACGCAAAGATCGCGAGATCCTGTAGCAGGCGGGACCGCAGAATTGCCCGTTGGCGCTGAAAACTGCCTGGCTGGATTATCATTTGTCTTCACGGGTGTTCTTGATACCCTCGGTCGCGAAGAAGGACAGAACTTGGTCAAAAAGTACGGTGGCAAAGTTACCACAGCACCTAGCTCAAAAACCAGCTATGTGGTTTTAGGAAGCGATGCTGGACCCAACAAGCTCAAAAAGATTCAGGAGCACAACTTGAGAACTATCAATGAGGAAGGGCTGTTTGAACTTATCCGCCGACTCCCTCCCAATGGTGGGGACTCAAAGGCAGCTGAGAAACATGCGGCGAAGAAGAAAGTCGAAGAGGTCAAAATCAAAGCAATGGCCGCTGAAATGGAAGCAGAAGAGAAGCGGAAGCTCAAGGCTAAGGGAACAATGACACCTAAAGCATCTGCAGGGTCTCAAGCTCCCTCGGCGTTTCAAGGCGCCAAGGTTGATGACCAGCTATGGACTACGAAATATGCCCCGACGGCCATGAATATGATATGCGGCAACAAGGGTGCTGTTGAGAAGCTCCAAACTTGGCTTCATAATTGGCACAAGAATGCCAAGTTCAACTTTTCAAGGCCTGGAAAAGATGGGTCTGGGGTCTATCGCGCCGTGATGATCCATGGACCTCCTGGGATAGGGAAAACGACGGCAGCGCATCTGGTAGCTAACCTTGAAGGCTATGACGTCGTCGAAACGAACGCGAGTGATACAAGGAGTAAGAAGCTCGTGGAAAGCAATCTTCTGGATATCTTAGACACAACCTCCCTGCAAGGTTATTTTTCCGGCGAAGGCAAGAAGATCGAGAGCACGAAAAAGAACCTGGTTCTCATAATGGATGAAGTTGACGGAATGTCTGCTGGAGATCGAGGTGGTGTGGGCGCTTTGGTTTCCCTGGCGAAGAAAACCCACATACCCTTGATTCTAATCTGCAACGAGCGAAGGTTGCCGAAAATGAAGCCCTTCGATCACGTCACTTATGAGTTGCCGTTCAGGCGCCCGACAGCCGAACAAATCAGAGCCAGACTCTCGACTATCTGCTTCAGGGAAGGCTTAAAGATTCCACCCCCGGTATTGGATAGTCTCATTGAAGGAACCAACGCCGATATTCGGCAAGTCATCAACATGCTTTCCACAGTCAAATTAGACCAGCAACATCTTGACTTTGACAAAGGAAAAGAGATGTCCAAAGCATGGCAGAAGCATGTGATCCTGAAGCCGTGGGACATTGTCAGCAAGATCTTAAATGCCCAGACCTTCTCTCCCAGCTCTAAAACCACTCTGGGTGACAAAATCGAGCTGTACTTCAATGATCACGAGTTCAGTTATCTGATGCTTCAAGAGAACTACCTGAGAACCAGACCAACGCTAGCTGGCAATTACCAGGGCAAGGAACAGAAGCTGAAACTGCTTGAATTGGCGGACAATGCTGCCTCTAGTATCAGTGATGGCGATCTGGTCGATAGGATGATTCATGGAACGCAGCAGCAATGGAGCCTTATGCCGACTCATGCTGTGTTCAGTTTTGTTCGCCCCGCAAGCTTTATTTACGGCAATATGGTGGAGCGGCCCGGTTTCACCAGCTGGCTGGGGCAGAACAGTAAACAAGGTATGTCTCCGTGATGCAGTAGTTGCGTTTCCGATATTAACATGGCATGTGCAGGGAAACTCTGGCGTTATGTCAAGGAAATTCAAGGCCACATGCGTCTTCGTGCTTCTGGTGACCGCGATGAGATCAGACAGCAATACATCCCGCTCCTCTGGAACAAATTGGTTCGCAGATTGATGGATGAAGGCAAAGACAGCGTTGAAGACGTCATTGACTTCATGGACAGTTATTTCCTCACGCGCGACGACTGGGATGCTCTCGTCGAGCTTGGCCTGGGTCCTATGGACGAGTCCAACGTCAAGCTGGAAACACAAACAAAAGCCACCTTTACACGTTTATACAACCAGCGATCGCATCCACTGCCATTCATGAAAGCCAGCAGTGTTGCGGCTCCGAAGAAGATGGCGAAGGAAAAGCCTGACATCGAAGATGCCATTGATGAATCGGATGAGGCAGAGGTCCTCGAAGATGACGCACAGGATAACGATGAAAACGAAGAACTTGATCTGAAGAAGGACAAGTATGTCCGTGTGCCCAAGAAATCAGCGGCGCAGAAAGGCGCGTCAGGCAAAGGCAAAAAGGGTAAAAAAGCGAACCCCGACGACGATTTTATCGACGATGACGAAAAGCCTAAGAAAGGAAAAGGCCGAAAGACTAAGGCAAAGGCCTGAGATGTATTTGTTTCGCTTCGTGATGGCGCCCGGGATTTGTTGTCTACCTCTGTTTATGAGCTCCTGGCAAGATATTGAGTTAAAAGGATTGTATATGACATGCGAAGCGGTTCCATATCATCACAGATTACTGTACCATATTTGAAGCCTGACCGTGATACAATGAATGACCTATTTATACTATCTTACGCAGTGATTGAGATACATCAGAAGAAACTGTCTGACTACTCTGTATGCCTGTAGGTAGGGTCCATACTTTTGGCCAGATGTTGTGTGAAGGACCTAGGCCAGGGTCTTGGCCGATCTGCGGAGTAGTGCATACATAGTAGGTAATGTTTTGGGGAGCACCGCCACAGAATGCGCGGTCTCCTCCAATAACTACTAGTCTACTCCTCATCAGGAAGATCAGTTCATTCTCGCACCCCCCGCCATCAACCCTTTAAACCAACTACCCCAAGGGTACATTCCTTCTATTCTTTTTGTTTTGAATAAACAGGCTGGACCTGTTTGTGGTGAACTGGCTTTCATCTTGATTATCTGCTCCATGTGCTCAGCGCATATCTTCCCTTCATCACAGCCCTCCGTCTCCCTACGGTCTGGAATATTACACTGTGTCTTCGCTGGGTTCAATATTTGTCGGCCGATTCCATTAGGGGCATAATCTTGGAAACTGAATAAACTACGCTGACAAGATGTCTCTCCTACATAATGATGAGTAAGTTGCCATTTCCACCCCGCGCCGATCTGCTTTGTGCAGTATGGCCGCGACTCGGGCACTAACCGATCGTCAGCTTTACCATTTGGCAATTGCGCACCTCATATCTATCAACGATCAAGGACGGAGTCGGCGAACGGCTTATTAATGTGAATAACTCGGTCCTCAATACGCCTGGCTTTCGTGCCGCCGGGTGGTTCTCAGGATCAACCAACCTTAGCAACCAAGCCGCAGCAGCGCAAGCAAGGAGAGCCTCTTCCCCTCCTATTCCGACGACGGCTGCCGTCTCCTCGGAGTACTATCGCTTCGGCGCTTCAAGAGATGCCAATACCTTGCGCAGATCCAGGTTGGGGGATTACGGAGAAGACGAAGAAGGGGGCATGGTCACTGGTAAAAGCAATGTTGATGTGATCGGTCGTCGGCACCAGGGCCGGAGTGGGAAACGGACGCGCCGCCGGGATCGCCAACAGAGCGAACAGCAGAAACAAAGAGAAGCCGAAGAGGATGATAGTAGTGACTTGAGTGATGAGAGCGACGATGATGGAGACAGCACTCGGAGGTTAGTGTCCGGTAGCATGTCGTTTGATATTGTGCCGATCTTGTGTTTTCCTACTGGAACTACTCACACTGATGCTGTAGTAGGGCTTCTCAGATTCAATTTTCCAAGGTGCCAATCCGCACACGAGCCGGATCGTCGCCCATCCGTTCGTCTGATCGTCATGAGGGCCCGGAAGTCATGGTCACATCCCCCTCACACCCAGCAACAGGAGCGCATTTTCGCACTGGATCATTGGGCACGGCAGTGAATGTGAATGAGGGACGACCACGACGAGATACTACTACCAGTAGCGACCTGTCTACAGATAACGAGACCAACGAAATGGACCCTTCATTCAAGAGGCGACAAATTCAATTCTCGACCAAGGACAAAATCATAGAATATCAAGACCCGCCTCGCAGCACTAGTAACAGGAATGTCGACACTATAACGCTTGGAGGGCTCAGCGAGGCCGCGGAGGACTCTGGCGCTGAGTCTGTAGGATCTGTGCTCTCATCCGAGTTCGACGCAACGGCTGGATCCGGCTCGCTTTTGGAAGACGTCGGGATCACTGGTGGTTTGGACTCATCCTCGCCTGTCGCGTTGATGCATAAGCTGCAGAACGGAGCTGGATCCCAGACTGCATCTCCAAGGAAACCCAGAACTCCAGCACCCGAGTTGCAAAATCTGCCACCGCCACGCCCCATCAGCAGACTGCAACCTACCAGTTTACTGACGCAAGCGCTTAAAGCACGCATGAAGGCGCCCACAAATCCTGTCGAAAAGTTTGCTGTTCTTTCCGGTAAAGGGTTAGCGGACGCCCTAAACATCAAGCTTTATCTTCCATTCTCCTCTGACCCCGAAGAACCTCTCGACCTTCAGTTGGCCAGGGAATCTAAGCTTGCGGATCAGCCGGCGCCGGTCACTGTTGCGGAGGCTATTGGGCTGGCTCTTTGGAGGTACTCCGAAGAAGGTCGCGAGCCAGCCATCGAGCGTAACAAACTCAATGTGAATCGATGGACACTACGGATGGTTGAGGATGGAGAGATTGAATACGATTTTCCGCCTCTGAGCCGTGCATCACACATGGCAGACTTCACTTCGAACAATAACAATAGGGCCACCGGAGTGAGGGGCCGATCGCGGGGAAAGCAATATGATGAATTCGCTTTGGTGGAGGCTTCTGAGGAGGAATTTGAAGAGAATGAGCGGCTGTTCCCGCAATACAGTCAGGAAGCACCGTCAGAGGAAAACGTGACGACGCCTACAGCGCCGACAGTGCCACTCCTCCAGCCTACTCCGCAGAGTAAGGCCCCAGCAGTTCGCGTGAATCCCATTCTGGGACAGCCGTTCTCATCTGCTCTGAACGACAATACCTTGACTCCAGCTGACCGGCCCGCGGTGCCCACATCCCATGCTACACCTCGAATGGGCGTCTCCAAAACGCTGAAGATCCGATTTATGAACCTGGATGCTGCCGCTCACGTTACAACCCTGAACACCTCTACCGACAGCTATATAGCAGAAATCTTGGACTCGGTCTGCAAAAGATGGGCGCTCGACAAGGGCAATTACATTCTCAAAGTGGCTGGATCCAACACGATCGCGCCGCTTGATCGGACAGTGGAGGCTCTGGGTAACATTACCGACCTCGACCTTGTACGGCGTCGATTCGGGGCAGGGCCTCTATCATTAACTGGTTCCCCAGGAAGCTCATCCCCCAATGCGCCGTTACTCATCGATAACAAACAGAACGCTGCAAGCAAGAAGAGCAAGAAGAGCGGACCAAGCATGCTACATCCACTCACCCAAACACAGGAGCTTACGGGTGGTTACTACCGGCGCTATCATGTGTTTCGAAAGCAGTCAATGTCCTTCACGACATCGAACCATCGCATCTTGACCTTTGACAATGATTACATGCACATCATGCCCGGGGATACAGGCAAAGCAGCATCCGACACCAAAACCCGATCGATCAGCTTCAACGATGTGGTGGGATGCAAAGTGAGCCGGCGACACCCGAAGAACTTCCGGGTCATTGTTCTACGGGGCAACGATGCCAATGAGCAGAAGCGGTACGATTTTGAGGCGCGAAATGCCCTGGAGGCGGTCGAGATAGTGGATGAGATCAAGAAGAACATGGCTCATTATCGTATTTAGTTATGAGAGAAGGGATCGGTATGGCGTTTGGGGACAAGTCTTGCATTATGTAGGGACATGCTGTTTTGATGCCATTGTCTAAGGAGGTTTGGTTCATTGATGTACAAGTTACCCCTGGCATGAGAGAGAATCCACGAAGAAATGATATGCATCACTACTAAAGATACTGCTGCACACTAGGCAGGCGATTAATTTAGGGAATAGTGCCGGTTGGGCACAACAGGCCTGGAAGCGGGGCCTTCCGGGGATCCGCTGGGGGTAATGAAGTCACCAAGCTAGAGGCTTTGTAGGGTCAATCTAGAGAGGTACTGTTGGATGGAATCGAGATATTTGACAATTGACATCTGGTAGGTATAAAATGCTTAAATTCGACAGTATATCAAAATCTCGTATCAATGCTGGAGTAATCCAGCGGAAAACAGGACCTGAAGTTGTGGTGGGCCAGTCATGATCTCAATGGTACATGGTCCCGGATGTCGAAGGATCTAATATTGAGTGATGATCTCATAGTGTCTGAGAGGTCACTCTCCACTCTCTTTCGTAGAACTTCATTGAAATCTTCTCTAACATGGTCTAGGACTCAACGGCTCTTAGATGATGCGAATTTAGAGCGAGGTGTATACAGTGTAGTTTCTCCATCGACTGGTTATTTGGAGAATGGCTTGAAGACGCAGATAGGGTCGAACAAATGAGTGAGATGAGTGAGTACTATAGGTACTCCGTAGAGACAATTATTCCCACTTTAATCGAAACCTTACGACAACGCTATATTATCATCATCACATCCTTATCATCCGCAAGTAAGGGCATCATCGTCATTCATCATCTTAACTATGAACTAGTCCCTCCCCACCCTCTTGGCTTTGCCTCCATTTACTCGGTACCGCGACCACCACGATAGTCTAAGATAGTCTACGAGGAGAGATTGAACATTCTGATTAATTGACCTTGGGATATAAGAGAAAGCCACGAACAAGAAGAAAGACGCATTCAATCAATCAATCTTCAGCTCACTTTTGCCTTGAACGTTGGAGTGTTCTGTTACGCACGATCGGGGGGTGATTGACTCCATTCTGGTCGTCTCTAGCCCCCGGGAGGCGTCCGCAGTATCCGCGCCAAAGCCATCTCTCGCTCCCTCGTGTGTCTTGTGTCTCCCCCCTCTTTGAAAGCTTCCCCCCCCCCAGCCAGAAGAGAAGAGGGGTTGATTTCGCTCACACAAAACTCCCGCACCCCCTAACCTACCCTGCCACTCACCAACCCTATGGTCTATGTTTCACCTTATCTCTGACCTCTTATACTCTTAACTCTCATTTCCTCGATGCCGACTTTAGGAGGTCTCTTGAAGAAACGGCGGACGAAGGATTCGCATACCCTCTCCAAAGAACTGGAATCAAGTTCGTCACCCACAGCGGCCCAGACACAGACGTCACCCAACTCTGCCGACCACGACCACCACAACCAGCACAACGATCAAACCCACCATCATCAACATTCGGCCAGCAGTAACACCAGCAATAATTCCGCAACTCCCTCTGCTGCTCAGCTTCATCGCTCATCCAACGACAACCCCAATCGCTCTTCAGGTACAGATCAAAATTCCGAGGGTCCAACTGCCTCCATGCAATCCGCCGTGACGCAACCCCATCCCTCCACCCACCACAACTCAGGCCTCCACCACCTACAACACCAGCAACAACAGCCACAACAACAACACTCCCATACCTCTAGGTTACACAATATACTTCACCCCTCTCATCATGCGTCACAGGCTTCTGCCGAAGGTTATGCAAACTCCCAGCAGGCCAATCGGGCTGAAGCCCGCACTACAAAAGGGAAATATTCCCTAGACGATTTCACTATCCAACGTACACTAGGTACCGGTAGTTTCGGTCGTGTCCATTTGGTGCAGTCGAAACACAATCATCGCTTCTATGCGATCAAGGTCCTGAAGAAGGCGCAGGTGGTCAAGATGAAACAGGTCGAGCATACAAATGACGAGCGACGAATGCTCAATCGTGTCAGGCATCCATTCCTGATCACATTGTGGGGTACCTGGCAAGACGCAAGGAATCTGTACATGGTAATGGACTTTGTGGAGGGTGGAGAGCTCTTTAGTTTACTTCGCAAATCTCAGGTGAGTGCTCTTCGCGTCCATATCAATGCAAGTTCCGGTAGGCTGATGTCATGGGCCCGTTGCAGCGGTTCCCAAACCCTGTCGCCAAGTTCTATGCGGCCGAGGTGACTCTTGCACTGGAGTATCTACACTCTCAGCAGATTATTTACCGGGACCTGAAGCCTGAGAATCTGCTACTAGACCGGCACGGTCATCTGAAGATCACCGATTTTGGGTTCGCGAAGGAGGTACCTGATATCACATGGACTCTTTGCGGAACGCCCGATTATCTTGCTCCAGAAGTTGTTTCGTCCAAGGGATATAACAAATCGGTTGATTGGTAGGCATTCCCTTCAATGAACTTTGCGTTTCCATTGGCTGACTAGAGCCAAGGTGGTCACTTGGAATTCTTATCTTCGAAATGTTGTGCGGCTTCACACCCTTCTGGGACAGTGGCTCTCCCGTCAAGATCTACGAGAACATTCTCCGCGGTCGTGTCAAGTACCCGCCCTACCTTCACCCGGACGCCGTCGACTTGCTCTCGCAGCTCATCACAGCGGATTTGACCAAGCGACTGGGCAACCTTCATGGAGGTTCCGAAGATGTGAAGAACCACCCTTGGTTCGCGGAAGTCACCTGGGATCGTCTTGCAAGAAAGGACATTGATGCTCCTTATGTTCCTCCTATCCGTGGAGGTCAGGGTGATGCCAGTCAATACGATCGGTATCCCGAGGAGACTGAACAATACGGCCAGCAGGGCGAAGATGTGTATGTGTCTCGGTTGCGAATCATTTTAGATCTAAGTACTAACCGACACTCTTGATACAGGCATGGCCATCTTTTCCCCGACTTCTAGTCCAATATACGACATTTGATAGAGCAATGAACATTGGCAATCATTGACTGGAGATGCCCACGATACAAATGCACTAGCCTCTAGTTTAGGCTCCAAATAAAAACTGCCTCTGTTCACTATTGTCTTGAAAGATCGTGCCTGTCTACGACTTTAATATGTCTCGTGACTCGACCATGATGCTCCAGGCTCGCAAATGAGCCAGGAGCGTGCGTGTGGAGCTCTATTGGATTCTACTTCTGCAAAAGTTTCGTGGCTTCCACAGGGACTGATCCTTACCTTCTTTCGGCATTGACGCATCTGAGAGATTTTCTTGGAATTCAGGTTGTCCAATATTATGTTCTTCTATTGGGTTCGAAGTCTAGCCTTTGAACATGTCGGTGGTGTTCGTCTGGAGAACCTTTGGTCGGCTACTGGATCCTGGATGATCGGGCTCGTCATTGGTTATCTTGTGTCGCATTATGTATATCTTTCTCAAGACTTGGGGAGCCTGCAAGCCATCCAGGTCATTTTTTTCGCCTTCTCTTCGCGCTGGCACACTTGAATGGGTGAGTGTTGGTTATGAGTACGGGATAAAGGTCGCTTCTGGCCTCATCCGTTGTCTTTCTATCTGCGTCAATTTCGTCTTCAGTCCTGTATAATGTACATATCTTCGATGTCTTGAACAAATGGAAAAGGAAGGCGTCAAATCTGAATATTATCAAGTACAGACCAGTCGTCTTCCATCTGAGTGGCTGGCAACCGGTCTCGGAGGCTCTGCTGCGTCGTCTTTAATTTTGGACGAGTACTCTACAGAATAGTCTCCACCCGTCACCCGGTATATAGTATTGTACAGAAATCTTACCGGTTGAAGGTCACGGCAAGAAAAAGCAACGCCTTTTTGAAGCACCACAAAACCATTCGAAGCAGGGGGTGAGAAAAGCACCAAAAAATCTCGTAATGTTGCAGTCACGGACACAATCAGCCTTCGACTCCCTCCTCAACAAATATCAAGCTCCGATGCGCCAGCGCTCACAGGCTGGATTCTCCAGACTGAACAAACGATGCGTCGAGGGCACCACCACCGTACGCCTTCCTCTCGTTCGCGAGACGCGAAATGTAGCCACGGCTGACGGCGTTCCAGAAGGAGATGTACTTCTCCATGCACTGCGAGAGACAGGTGTGTTCGGCGGAGGAGAGCGATGTGCCGGGGTTGGGAATGCAGGCTTCGAAGCAGTGTTCGTTGACTTTCTACAAGCGGGGAGAAAACCGTCCTTGGTCAGCTTGGTTTGATCCAATGTGCCGTCTGGTAGGTTAGGGATATACATACACCGATCAGATTCCGGGCGTTGGTCACGGCGGCTTCTTGCCGCACTTGGTTCATGAGGTGGGTTTTGATGTCCGCTTCGCTGGAGGACGCGGTGTTGGAGCTCGAGGATCCCCAGATGGCCATTTTGCTGGTTGTATTGTGATTTTGTGGACGTCTAAGAGGAATTAAGCGTAGGAAGTGAGGTGGATTGAGGGGGTATCCGTGGATTGAAGTTTGGATGTTGGATAATGACGCCGACAGGATCTTCGGAAGTAAAGGAAAAGTGTGGCTGGTGCGGGCCGCCCGTTCGTGAGGGAGCTGCGCCACATGTAGGGCGAAGTGGACACTTGGATGTTTACTCGATGAGGTGGGAGCATGGATCTGTCATATACTCCGTCTTCTAACCATTTCTTTGGATCCTTGCTTCCTTTCAATTCTTCGCAGTACACAGTGAAACCTGAGTAGTGTACTCCTTTTATCCCTCTTCACTATCGTTCATTCCTTTCCCCCATACTGCCATTCCCCGAGCTACCCTCTTCCATTGAGCTTGTTCTCCAGCAAGGTATACCTGTCTAGGAGCTCGCTGATGTCCCGGTGACATTGAGCCCACCCACGCCGATCAGTCTCGAATTTGATTATTCTTTACTCGCTAGCTGCAGTCTGCTCTCTACCGCTTGACCTTTTCGTTCTCGCAATTTCCACAAACATTCATTATCCTAGCTTCTCAGACTCCATCCAATCACATCGGTCATCATGCTGCTGCCGCGGCTTTCCTCGCTTTTGTACCTCGCTGGCCTAGCTACCCTCCCGGTAACAAGCGCCTACAACGGCGACGAGAATATCAAGAGCATTCCGGTACGCAAGACCATTTTCCATGAATGCGCAAATGCCCCTCGGATCCGCTAACCTGGACTCTACCAGCTCCGAACTCACAGTCTTGCTCCGGTTGGTCCTCGTTCCTCACCTCGACTTCTGCTGAAGCTTTAATGCGAACATCGTAGTTGACTTTGCATAGCCATATCTGGATTCGGACTTCCAAAGCCGCTGGTTCGATTTTGGTGGTGATACAATCATCCGCGCTGACAAGTATGCGACCAAAGTCCCCATAACACTCAGTGGGAGATGAGGAGAAGTTTGAGCTGACTGGACTAGGTACATTCGCCTGACGTCGGATCGGCCATCGCAGCAGGGATGGATCTTTTCTCGGGTCCCTCTTACTGCAACGAATTGGGAGGTTAGTGGTGGACTTTTATGAGGGGAGGACTTGACAATCTGACATGTGACCCAGATCGAGGTTGAGTTCAAGATCCACGGCGAAGGGAACTTGCACGGCGACGGGTTTGCCATGTGGCTCACCAAGCAGCGCGCAACCCAGGGCCCTGTCTTCGGGTCGACAGACAACTTCGAAGGTCTGGGTATCTTCTTCGACACATACAAGAATAACCGTCCCGGAACATCATTCCCCTACGTCATGGCCATGATGGGTGACGGGAAGACGTCTTACGACCAGGCCCATGACGGAAAGGCCAACGAAGTGGCTGGCTGTTCTGTGAGCTTGTCCTAAGGTTATCCTGGTCAATCACTGTTGCGCTAACGAATTGATGACAGGCTCGTGGTCTGCGCGGCGCTTCAATTCCTACCAAGGCGCGCTTGACATACTTCCAGGACAAGTCTCTGACCCTAGACTTGCAGTACAAGTCTGAGGACACCTGGACCAACTGCTTCACCCTGAACGCTCCCGAGACCAATATCGCCATCCCTGCCGTTTCCTACCTGGGCTTCTCTGCCGAAACTGGCGAGCTGAGCGACAACCACGACATCATTTCGGTCAATGCTAAGAACCTGTACAGCATCGGGGGCAGCGCCGCCGCCGGCTCCGGCCGGGGCCCAGCAAACAACGGCAGACAGGACCGGGCCCACGTGAAGATGCCCAAGGAAAAGGGCGGCTGGGGTTGGTTCCTGTTTAAGTTCATACTGTTCCTTGGTGCCATCGTCGGCGCGTACGTCGGTTTCACCATGTATCGGACCAAGCAGCGTTACTCGCGGTTTTAGTTTGAAGGATGAAAGCACGAAAAATGCAAAAAAAAAAATTACAAAAACATGTCTACGGAGTCAGATTTTGTTTCTGATTATTTGCGCAATTGCATAGCCGTGTCATATTTGTCTAGTTGCGGGTTTCTACAGTCGTTTTGATATGAAAGCAAGAATATGATAAGCTATTTCCTGAGCCTTTGACTATGGAATGAAATAATAGGAATGAAATGTAGTCGCGATGACTAAGGACTATCGATTGCAGGGTATCATGCTATCAAAAACGCCGAGAAATGCTGTTCTAAACCCTCGTCTGACCACGTCAAAAAGTCCCCAGCAGTCTACGACTGCTTCGCCCTCGTCTCATTCCACATATGATCGATGATCTGGAAGACCTCAGTCACACTCGCCAACACGCTTTCATCGACCCCCAGCGCACCATACCGATGCTGGATCTTATCCGGATGCCAGCGTATCCGCTCAGACTTGAGCACCGAAAGCAAGCCAGCCGTGCTATCCGCCCCATCACCGTCTCCCATCCCAGAAACCTCCACCGGCGCATGGCGCATAAACTCCTCCACCGCTTCGCGCGACACATCCCTCCGTTTCCCCGACTCCACCGGCCAAAAGACCAGATTCCGGAACGCCCTGCGCTGGCCCTCCCCCACATTGACTTCTTGATTAACCTCCTCCCAGGCACGCCGATACTCATCCCAGACCGTCTTCCACACCTTGAGACGCCGTCGCTCCCGGCCCCGCTGGAGACTCTCCTCCATCGCGCGCTCGAACCGCATCCTCTCGCGCTGGCTCTCTGCGCTCTCCTCCTCCCGCCGCTTCTGCCGCGCCCGTTCGGCGCGCAGGCGCTCTTGCTCCTCGAGCATCCCCTCCCGCGTCCGCGCCCACATCCGACTCCGCACGTACGCCGCGTACTCCTCCTCGGACATCTGCTCTAGCTCGCCGTCGGGACCCTTGGGGACGGACGGGATGGGGTATTTGTGGATGGGCTGGCCGTATATAGTTTCCCAGTATGCGGCGCCTTCATCGTCGCCGAGGGCGTCGAAGAGGGACTCGCGGAAGGCGGTGTCGGGGGAGAGGCGGGATGAGTTATCTTGATCGTGGGGGTTGGGGGAGGGCGAGCGCTTGGATTTGTGTCGTTTGGAGGAGCGGTGGTGGGAATGGCGGTGGGAATGGCGGTGATGGGGGCGGTGGTGATGACGGTGGTGGGTATCGTATGGTTCGTCTCGGTGAGATTTGGATTTGGATTTTGAGGATTTGAAGCGGAATTTGCCTGTCGCTGGGCGGGTGTATTCGTTGTCTGCGCTAGGAGCCTCGGGGGATGCCTGTGGTTCTGAACCATTTTCTGCGGCGCGGTCTGTGTCCATGGCGTAGTTTCATTATATGCTGTACATAGATATCAGGCTAAGTTGAATTGTGTCGTGCTTTTGCTGAGATGAGAGGGGATCCTGACGAACGTGTGGAACGAACTGAAGACGTTGTTGCCATTTCTCTTCGCAGATGCCAAATGTGATTAGTCATTTTTATCTTATCTGATCATCAGTTATTCCCTCCTCAGACTTATGACGTCATCTCCATGATACTATTTGGGACGAGAACAAACGGCACGACAGTTAATCAATCTGATCCGAGTTCAGATGCTATGATCAGTATTATGGTAATTGTATTCCATACTGTGCTGCCTGCGCGCGAAGCTACTCCAGCTATAAGAGTAAGACGATATCTTCAATCTGGTGGCTAGCCCTGATCTCCTAGACCTAATCAATGTGAGCAACACGGTTGTATCTTTCCTGAGTCAGATGTGAATTTATCCAAAATTACTGAAGCCGCAGAGATGAGCGTTATCAGAGATATTTTGCCCTTGAGTTGTGCCTGGCAAGTTTAGGCGGCATGTTGGAGTCGATAGTGACACCATATAATTCAGGCATCAACAAGCCGCCTCAATGGGTGTATCATGGTCGCAGCACTATCGTCATCTTCCGCAACGCATTTCTAAATTCTTATCAAGACAACGCCCAGCCAGTCCAACCAAAAATGGCTCTCGTATCGTATTCAGACTCTGAAGCTTCAGACCCAGAGCAAGAAACCAAGGTCACTCAACCATCAAACAAAAGTCAAGTTCCCACGCCTGCGAATCCACCCAAGCCCTCCTCCGGCGCAAATTTTGTCGTCGACCGCAGTAACCCCCGCAAGATCCGCGTCGCTTTACCGGATATCAAGCCCGAGAACCCTACCGCAGATGGTGAAGACGAGCCAGCCCGGAAAAGGGTCAAAATAGGCGGAGGCGGGGCATTTTCAGGTTTCAATGCCCTTTTACCACCTCCTAAGAGGGCCAACGTCACGGCGGAGAAGGATAAGAAGACGGCTGCGCCAGCTCGGAAGGTCTTCAGCTTGAAGACCGGCGCGGCTCCTGGTTTTGACCGCGAGGCTGATGAGGAGTTTCGGAGGGAACAGGCGTTCGATAGCTTGGCGGGCGATGGCGATGATGAGACGATACCCAAGCCGGGAAGTCTTCGGAGTGAGCAGCTTGGCGAGAACGATGCCGCGAAGGCTCAGGTAGACGGAGAGAGGAAAGAGGAGGTCAAATTGAAAGGGAATCCGATGATGTTCAAGCCACTGTCCGTGGGACGAGTGTCGCAGAAGAAAAAGAAGCAACCGACAAAACCTGTCTCCTCTCCTTTGCCAACCGCAAACGAGACAACAGCTTTGCAATCCTCGCAAGCGTCCAATGAGCAACCAGCACAGCCAGCCACGCCCGTCCCTCAGAAGCCAAAAATCAGTCTGTTCTCCTTGTCCACAGAAGAAACTACGACTTCGAAGATGCCCGAACCCCAAGCACAAGCCGCTACTTACGAGCCATTGGTGTACACCACAGACCTAGAAACCACCCCGGCCGGCCCGGAACCGGAGCCTGAACCCGCGACGGCCCCCTCACAATCACCGACGGATCAAACATTGGGTAACATCGCAGACGATCTCAACTTGTCCCGGGCCCAACGGCGACAGCTCTTTGGACGCAATGCCGACCCGTCCAAGTCGCGAATTCTGCACTTCAATACAGACAAGGAATACATTGCCAACCAGGAGTTGGCCCACCAGACAGACCTTGCTGCTGCTCAGCACAATCCTGTTCGGGCCATTGCGCCAGGCAAACACACTCTGCAACAGCTGGTCAATGCGGCCAGCACACAACGGGAGGCTTTGGAGGAGAGTTTTGCCGCTGGACGAAGGAACAAAAAGGAGGCCGGATCGAAGTATGGATGGTGAACTTCGTGTAGTCTCTGGTCGTGTTATGCAAGTCTTTCTGGAAGTAGTCTATAGATACCAATATATCCGCAATTTATTGTTCAGACTAAAAGAATGATATCTTAAACTCGTCTGAAATGTTTGAATGAAGAAATAAAACTGCTTCGAAGTCATCAACTATACATGAGATGCTACCTATACAAATGAAATCAACCATATAAACAAAATGCCCAACCTTTTTTATCTACCATAACCATGCATAAATCTCACGATGATACATCAACAACCTCTGCAAACCATTGTTTCAACGCCGTAGCCAGCACAGCCGGTAACTCCCGAACGTCACGAACAACCAGGTAGTATGGGAAGGGGAATCCCTCCAGGTATCTCTTCATCTTCAACTTCATCTCCCCAGTTCCACTCTCCGTATCAGGCTCGAAGCTTGCCTGGCTGAGATCCAAGATTGAGCTGCCCTTGACGGCGTCAACAATGATGAATACGATCATGATCCGCTCCTCTTGAGCTTGACGCACAAGGCGTCGGATGGTATCATGATCTTCGCAGATACCGTCGGATATGATGAGCTCCAGTTGCCACAGGTCGGCGTTGCCTCCTGCGGGCGATTGTTTCCAGCGAGCTTCGCGGAAGAGCGCAATGGAATCGGCGATCAGTTTGCGCACGTTTGTGCCGGTCTGCTGGTAGCTGAAATGTTGGAATACTTGTGTTCCGGCTTCCGAGGAGAAAGGTTTGCCGAACTCGTGGGCGACTCGGACATGGTCCTCGTTACCGAACCCGAGCACACACAGGTCGCCTACTTCGAGCATCGACAGACTCTTCGCGACTAGCGCCAGGGTCTCGAACGCTAACTGCCCGCTGCCACTCTCCAGCATAGACTTGCTGTCATCGACTGCAAGCATGATTTGGTAGTTGCGCTTGGAGGGAATGGACCGGCGCATCCAGATCTTGTCACGCTTGTACTGTGACGCAATGTATGGGATGATGCGCTTGATATTCAGCCGCTTCCCTGTCCGGAAATCGCCCCGCAGCTTTGTAGCAAGTGTGGGGGCCAGGATCAGACGTAGCTGCTCCGTTAAAGATAGAGAGAGGTCGTTTGTGGCATTTTCGTAGTGCGACCAAAGGCGCTGGGCTTCTTCCCGTGGAGTTAGTGGCGGTAGCGTCGACGACAGGTGAATTGCCGCAAGATGGGCGTCCACCTCATCCAGCTCCTCGTTAGCCTCAAGTTGACCGGTAGCGTCCGTTGTTCGCTCCTGTGTACGGGAGCTGTCGGGTATCAATGCGCCTGCGGTTTGCCCTTCGGTAGGAACTCCTTCTCCATCTATCTGCATGTCATCCTCCAATCTATTCTCCTCCGCAATATCTTGCGGCTCTTCGCCAGCGTCCGGTAACATATCATTATCACCAGGTTTGACGTCCGACTCCACGCCCTTGTTCTGGTCCAAGGCCTTTGCTTGTTCTTCACTGGCCTGTCCCAGTGCTTGCGTATCGGCAGCATCATCTTGGTCCGCAAGATGCTCGAAATCAGCATCGGCCATATCTGTATCCTCCGGCAAGGGTTTCCGCGACTCGTCATCATCTTCCTGCTTGGATGCGTCCATTATCTCTTTTCTCCTCCGATGCCATTCATCAAGAACATCACCCAACTTCTTGAACGCCTGTAATTGAGGGTCTTCGGGGCTCACATCATCAGCACCGCCAGCATCCCTCTTGCGCTGGCTGTCCTCTCCTTCTTTGGCACCGCCAGTTGGCTGTTCTGCGTTTGCGGCCGGATCAGTGGAGCCATCGTCCTGCTGAGCATTGCCGGCTGCGCCTTGCTCTTTGTTTTGGTCTTCATCTGCGCCCAGACCACCGTTAACAGCTTCGCTAGGAGCAACCTCCTCACCACCAGGTTCATTGTCATCATGCTGAGTCAAGAACTCTTCTTGCTGGGCCTCTGATTCTTCCTCCTCAGCTGCATTGGCTTCATCGGTTCCCTCAGCCTCGTTGGCCTCTTGGTCCTCCATGGCTTCTTCATCTACCCGGTCAGGCTCCTGCTCGTCGGTTGGATTATCCATATCTGGATTTTCAGCATTGTCCTCGTTTCCCTCAGCCTGTTGCTCGTCCTCCGCAGGTGCAGGACCGAAATCCGACATATCGTCCATGCCGTCGTCACTTTCGGCACCGTCATCTTCCTTCTCCTCGCCGTCCAGTTGCATCTCCTCAGGTAGGTCAAGCGCCTCTTCTTCCTTGGCATGAGGGTCCGTCACTTCCATATCTTCTCGTCCAACAGCCTCGCCTTCATCCTCGGGGGCTTCTTCGTCTTCTTCGTTCTCTTCTTCCTCACCCTCCTGCTCTGCATCCTTGTCACTCTTCTCCTGGGTCTTTTCTTCCTCCTGCGCTGCGGTTTGCTCATCGGATCCAGCTGCTCCCTTGCCTTGTTCATTCTCTGTCTCTTTCTGCTTCTCATCATGGTCGCCATCCCACATCTTCTCATCCACTGCGGTGTCGTCGAGGTCGTTGACGCTGCCTACTTCCTCATCAATATCGTCTTCTCCTTCAGAGCCGCTGGCGTCTTCATCTTCTTCTTCGTCCTTCGCCTCGCGATCAATCTCTTCGCCTTGCATTTCTTCATGATCCATGTTCACTGCCTCCGCAGAATCCTCCATGTCCTCAGAGGGCTTCTCATTCTGTTCTTGCTGAGCAAGCTCAGATAAGTCCTCGTCATCCCCGACGTCTTTGCTAATATCTTCAGCACCTTCACCCTCGCCAAGGCCGGTTCCACTTTCCAACTTTCCAGACTTGCTTTCTTCTGCAGATGGCTCCGCCGGGGTACAGAAACCTTCTGAGGCTATCTGCGTGAATGACTTTGCGAGAATGTACGTCATTTTGCAAGTCTCCCTGTGCACAGACACAAACCGCTGAATGATGTCTCTGCAGATGTAGAAGTATCGGTTCGTGATGGGCAATAAGCTCGCCACCAATGCTGAGGCAAGCGCATAAGTGTTGTTGGTGTTGGGTTGCAAATGCTGCAGGGTGTCGAGGACAGATTCGAGGGAGGAAGTAACATCAGACAAGCGGACAGCCTTCATTGCCCTCGTGAAGAACTCATCACTCCGCGACAGCGAGCCCGTGGAGGCAAGGGAAGCAGGCACGTCTTTGAGTTTCTGAAGGCTGACCAAGATCTTGTCAATTGCTGCAAGGAGTCTGGCGTCAAATTCCTGGATAGCGAGACTATCCTGGCTGTCAGTCCTAGCAGTCGCATTTCCTTTCGCCTCCGCCCATGGAATGATTTGTGTTAATGCGAAAGACAAGTCGGGGCGTTCTGCGGTCCATTTTGAGACATCAGCGTTCAAGCTAGCAAGAGAAGACGACACCTCTTCCAAGACATCATTATAACGCTGAGAAGTCAGGCAAGAAGGTAACTCTGGAATATTGACTAGTGATGACTTCAGTCGACTAAACGTGGATCTCCAAGCGTGCAGGCCATCAGAAACGTTTGAGGCATCGACTTCAGAGAACTTGGCATGTAGTTGCACAATTTCCGCAGCGAGGCCAAGTATGGGAGTAAGCCATGCCACAGCTCTCCTGAGGTCTTGTCTATCCTTCGAGAGATCCGAATGCGACTTGCAGACGGATGCGGATCCAGAAGTCCAGAGATTTGACATTTTCATAATCGTGGACTTCATCATTTCCAAATGAGACAGTGCTGGAGATATGACCCCACGCTGCTTTCTTAACAAGAACATCAAGTGCTCGACAGTGCCAACGCTCCTTGAGATCTCGACGTTACTGAGATCTTCTGAGTACTCGCGAGAGGCTTGACGTACGCGAGGTAGGAGATCCAAGAACCGGTGGAAGTAGAGATCAGAGCCCTTGATGAGATGAGATGCCGAGTTCCCGACTTCCAAGCTTGGGGTAGTAGCGAGAACCTGAGCAACGGAAGATTGGCTCTCAATCAAGTTAGTGCTTGCATTGCGTTTGATACCCATTTCCAGGAGCCGTTTCAATGTGTCTGCATAGAAGCGACGCTTCTGGACCTTGAGATGCTGGACATCATCCTTGTTGTCCTCAGTCAGCACTTTAGGAGTCTGCGATTTAAATTCCGTGATGCTCTCAATGAAGAATTTGACGAAGCTGTCGAGATCCTCTGAGATGTCAAACTCATTAGGCATTGAGGAATACAGATCTGTCATGTTCCCGGCTGTGCTATCCGCATTTCGGAATCTGGGCGGTCTGCTTGGCCATATCGTAGGCTCCTCCTGGCACAAAGCGAGAGCGTCGGGGAAGCTTGTCGAAGCCAAAACGACTTCATCGGTGACCATGTCCGGTTCATTTGGTTCGTTTGTCATTCCCTGCTGTAGAATCGGCTGCGCAGGTTGTGCCAGAACTTCACGATACTTTCGAACGAGTTTGAACAGCCTGAAGTGTGATCGCCGGGCACTTTCCTTGAGCGCAATGATGTTTGTATCCTTCCAGCTAGCTAGCTGAATCTGTTGCTTGATGTCCTTCTCAATGGCGGCTCTGCGGTCTTCCATTGACTTGTGCACTGCAGGCTCGAACGGCCTGAAGTGTTCGAGAAAATTGTCCAATGCAGATACGAGTTGCTCCAGAGCTGGGTAATCGCGAACGTAAAGCGCAAGCAGTGACCGGAAATTAGCCACGAGCTTGAGTCGTTCGCTGTATTGCCCGACAGTTGTCGACATGAAGAATTGTTCCAGCGTAGAGATGACACCTTGGATATGGCCGCTCAACTCGGCTTCCCCAGATGCTGCGAGCTGAATGGGGGCTGCAATAACTGCTTCGTAAGCAACAAACCACCATGAGCACACATCTTGAGCACACTTCTCCTTTTCAAGATCGAGCAGCTTGGCCCAGGTTGACAGTTCCAGCCGGCGCCAGCTGATGATCAGATTGGTGATCTCGTCGTAAAGAGAAGCTGCCGAATACTCTCTGCTTGCCACAAGCTGCCATTCATGAACAAGGGCATGGAGCTTCTCAACCTTTGTAAGGAATTTCGCGACAGG